TGATTATCCCTATCATGTGCCAAGAGCGAGGAATCAGAGCTAAATACAATATAGCCTCTCCCTAAACTTCCAGGAGTAAACAAAGAAATATTCTGTCATGACAAAATGGTCATGAATCTGTAAAGGTCTGTTAAATCAGCTGACTCTCTCTCATTGCTGCTGGACAGCACATTTGTCTTAGCCCTTGGGCATTTGTGTCTGAAGAATTTCCTATCACTACAAAACCATGCCAGTATTATGGTAGCATGTGCACTGCTTTGATTTTATGTTCAGATATCAGTTTTTATGCACATACTGCATGCATTGTGCTGGTGCTTTGAACACATTATCTCATTTAATCGACAAGATAACGTGGAATATTAGTACTATAATTATATATGTTTTGTAGAGGGAAAAAGCTAAGCTCAGAGAATAAGTGACCTACCCAAAGTCACACAGTCCTCAAACCAGGATCTCTGGTCAATGTGTTTAGGTCAACACTGGGTGTGATGAGATGAATTCAGTAGTAAGATAGGCGGTAGCATAAAGTGAGGGTTACTTCTGTCTTATTTCCATAGCCAAAAAACCTGCTCAAATTTAGAAGCTGCTGTTCTTTTGCCTGTATTTAGTCCCTATTCATTTTGCTTTCAACCTTTACATAATTTTAGCATGACTTCCCAATTTTATGAAAGAGTACTTGAAGTCTGCATGCTGATGGGTTATACAATTTTCTTTATCGGTGGTGGGGAGATGGAAGTGGGTGTGTGAGTGGGGTGAAGTATCTAAAATTTCATCATATTATTTTTCTCAGAACTTACGCCTGTAACGGAAGTTTCTCAACATGAAATGTCATCAATTTGGCCTCACTCAGGAAGTTGCAAGGCACTTGACTGTAACCTCAGAGAATTGGGCAGTGTCTAAAAGCTGAAAATTTTTAGCTCGCTGTCATTTTAGAAGTTTCAAAAGTTATTTTATTTCTTAATGAATTCTTTTTACAATTTAATTGATTAAAAAAAGCTTCTGATAAAACACTTCAGGGTGAAGATACATGCCTGTTTATATCAGCAATAGAATGGTGGGGGGGAGGAAACCAGAATTTAAATCATCTAATTTTTGCTCTTATCAATAAAGTATTATAAAGATTTTATCCATTTACCTGAAATGAAATTTCTCTAACCATGCATACTGTCACAACAAACTTGAATCTGTAAATATAGGCTATCCCTGGGATCAGAATAATCACTGCATTCCAGAACAGTTTTACAACCTTTCTAAACTGAGAGACTCAGCTGGTTCCAATGGAGAGGCTGTGGCGAGATTGTGATGCAGATTATCTGATCCAAAGGGTTTTTATGGCATAGTCTTGGGCAGCATATATATTCCATGTCTAAATATTGTTGAGTGATTAAATAAATGAGTGAGACTGGTTCTCTCACCAGGTTTCAGCCTAGGCCAGTGTAATCATCTGGTAAACATTAAAATGTCAATCCTTGAACCACCTTCACATCTACTCTTAAAAGACTCAGACTCGTGTCTCTCTCCCAGCCAACAGTGGAAGGTCTAAGTCTCTCAAATACCTCACAACCTTGGATGACCTATTTATTGCCTTTCCACTCCTCTTGATCCAGCTTTCCATGGTCAAGAGAAAAACCTAAGGAAGGTGAGGCTAGAGCTGCAGGGATTGAGTAGGTAAAGTAAAGGCAGCAGTGCTCCCAACATGTACTTCTGCTACAGTGTCCTTTTCGGTGCTGTGCTCCATGATGGGGCCATCCTACCAGCAACTGCAGCCTCAAGGTGTCTTCACTTTCCTCCTTTCTTCTCTCTTTGCATGAATCCAAGTTCTCTTCCTCTGCTTCAGTCTCCTCAAGGCCTCTGCAGCACTTCTGCTCAAAAGTATATCCCTAAATTCTTTTTTTTTTTTTTTTTTTTTTTTTTTTTGCGGTACGCGGGCCTCTCACTGTTGTGGCCTCTCCCGTCGCGGAGCACAGGCTCCGGATGCACAGGCTCAGCGGCCATGGCTCACGGGCCCAGCCGCTCCGCGGCATGTGGGATCTTCCCGGACTGGGGCACGAACCCGTGTGCCCTGCATCGGCAGGCGGACTCTCAACCACTGCGCCACCAGGGAAGCCCCATATCCCTAAATTCTTGATTGGTACCTTCATTTTGAAGGGATTGAAGTTGTGGCTGAATATGTTTCACAGGTGATATCCACAATTTTACAATCAGGAAGTTCCTTATATGCTTCCCAACCTACAATTTCCTGGCATCTTCATAAAGAAGCTATACTCTCTTGACCTCCCTGAGGCAGCAGGTTGATTAAAGTTTAAAAATTATGGTCAGTGGTTGTGCTGTGTCCAAGGAGGCCCTAGAATAATCTCTTTGAGGTAGTACTCCTACCAGGAGTGGGGCCATGATGGAGCCATCATGTTGGAAATTTGAAATTGAAACATGATTTCCTGCTGTGGAGAGGGAAGAACAGAAAGAGACATGTGCTTTACTCCTGACCTGGGCACTACATCTGGGATTAACTCTCATAGATCTGGAAAAATATGATAGAGATTAACAGTGTAATATTGTCCCCAAGAATTTAAAATAACACTTTGTGTTTCCTGATTTTTCCTAAGGTGTTATGTTTTATTTATTTAAAAAAAACTTTTAGATCACTTTGGAAGGCATTTACCTATAGATTGTGTAGATTGATTTAAACATAAATATGGAATGTGTTGTATGGGAATAATCGTTATATTTAATGCCCTCCAGCAAAAAATTCCTAAATGCCCACTCTGTACCTGGTATTACACCAGAGATTAAAAAGACTAAACAAAATAATCTCTGTCACAAGGAGATTACAGTCTCATGTAAGGGCAAGTGTCATAATAAATAAAGTGTAACGTGATAAGTGTTGTAACCAACAAAGGTACAAGTTGCTATGGAAACACAAAGAAGAGAACACCAAAGGGAATCATGGAAGGCTTCACAGAGTTAAGTGACTTTGGTGGTGAGTCTCAAGACAGAAAACAGAGAGTGGCTTCTGGATATAGAAAATAGCAGGAGCCACTCCAAGAAAATAAGTAACATAAGAAAAGTTGCCAAGGGAATAGTGAATTCAGGGCATTGCAAGTAGATTATTTTGGCTGGATAATGTAGAGTGAGAGTGGGAGAGGAAAGGTATGACTCATAGAGTAGGTTAAAAATTGTTGGGAAGGATTTTCTATATCCCTGAGGGTTTAAATATTATACTAAAGACAATGAAAAGCCATCAAAGAATTTTAGGCTGGGAAGTATGTGATTTAATTTTGTATTAGAAGCTCTTTCTGGAGATCATGTGGAGGATGGATTAGAAGGTAGGGCATTGACAGAATAGAAGTCAGTTGGAAAATTATTGCATCATTTCACACATGAGATTATGAGGTTCCAAAGCAAGACAGCAACTATGGGAATAGATAGAAAGCCATGAATATGAAAGCATTTCTAGAGGTAGGATCCATAGGGCTTGATTACTTATTGAATCTGTATGAAAAGGTTACATGTGAGATGAAGCGAGAAATTATTTTCTGCTTTGGGTAACTGGCAAGAGGTTGGTACTGTTAAAGAGAGAGGTAGATTGGCAATAAAACAGGAGAGACAAATTTGCAGAGAAAATCAAAAATTTAGGTAAGTTGAGTTGAAGCTTCCTAGAGTGCAGTGGACTGAATTGTGCCTCCCCCCATCCCCTTAAATTCAGATGTTGAAGCTTTAAACCCCAGTGTATGGTATTTGGAGATGGGGTCTTTGGGAGATAATTAGGTTTCGATTATGTCATGAGGGTGGGGACCTCATGATGGGATTAATGCCCTTATAAGAAGAAACACCAGAGAGCTTGCTGTCTCTCTCTGCCATGTTGGAGGTTATCTGCAAGCCAGGAAGAGAGGTCTGACCAGAACCCAACCATGCTGGCAACTTGATCTTGGACTTCTATCTTCTGAAACTGTGAGAAATAAATTTCTATTGTTTAAGCCACTCAGTCTATGGTGTTTTGTTATGGCAGCCTGAGCTAATACATATAAGTATTTAGGAAGTTGGATAACACAGATCTGGGGTTCAGGAGAGAGACTGAGGTGAGGTAATTGATTTGGAAATTGTATATATATATACAAATACTTTATATATATATATATAAAAGTGAGAACTGACTATAAAACCTCGTCTGATAGGAGATTTTTTTTTTTGTGGTGATAGGAGATATTTTGTCTAAAGTTCTAAGATGAATATACTTTAAGTAACACTAGTTACTTAACTAGTAACTAAACACTTAAACACTTAAACACTAAACACTTAAACACTAGTGTTTAAGTAACACTAGTTACATTTGGTATGGAAAATACCAAATGCATATAGTTCTTTTTATTATTAAAATTAGGGTGTTTCAAAATTAAAAATATTTACACTTAAAGATGAAAAATCTGTACAATTATTAAAATTAGTTTTACTAAATCAGAATTGACAATATATCATTATCTATAATTTCATACAGATAACAGTGAAGAAATCAACAAAAAATAATTACTAAAACTCCACTGTGGATCAGGATAAAATGTCTCCAGTATTAACTGACACTTTGCTTGGACAATTAGTTAAACAGACACACCCTCTGTTACTATTCATTCAACAATATACACAAATTCAAAACTGGCAGGTATAAAAAAAGGAAGGTTTTTTTTTTGCAGAATCATTTTGCACTTATAAAATAAAGCCAAATAAGGCTTATGTCGCACATACCAAAAACTTACTCTATCCTTTTTCTGATACAGGTAAGTGAAATATTAACACGTAGCATTTAAAATGATAAATATACATATTATTTACAATAATTGGGAATATTAGAGATATGAGCTTTTATGTACAATCATTCCTATTAAAACATTTTAACTTCAGGTTGTATCTGCAAATACTTCCCTTCCTCTTCTTTTTGATCTTTTATTGATAGCTCAAGAAGAGTTAAAATAGAACCCATTTGTAGACGTAGAGTTGATAATATGTATTCAGTCGCTTGGCTCTGTGATAGCAATCTTCTGTGCCATGTCGGACAGATTTTCAGACTCCAGGTCTTCTTTACCATTATCTGAATTTTCTGATGAGATATAACAACCAGAGTCCCTTGGGCAGTCATCTAACTGTGACTTATTTAAGGAGATGTCTGGGCTTAAGAATAGGGACATGGATTCATTTTCTTGCTCCTGAATAGCTGTAAATGGAAAAGAGGGCAGCAGTTAGGCAAAGCCAAGAAAAGTTTTGTTCATATACTCATTCATCTTTGAGCTATTTTAACTGTTCCCAACTTGACTTCATTACAATTGAAAATTCTGTAAGTAAACAATATGTTTATTATAAAAGAGTAGTTTGAACTCAAATATTCAAACCACTGTTTTCTTAGAAGACAGTTTTCCCTTTGTTGCTCACTTGCAGTTTCACGGAGTTCATGTGAATGGCTTACATAAGTGAAGATCAATATGGACCCTCATTTTACACTAATAACAAGTTGCCAGAGAAAGCAGATTGCATCCACAGTGTGACTGATGCCTTGTCCAAATACTTCTTAAAGTAACATTAGAAGAAGTCATTTGTAGTTTAAATGTACAATCCAAGTCAACAGTGATCTTCGCGAACAGTTCTAGAATCATGATAATGTGGATTAATGAATAAAAAATCACTATGGGCAACAATGTACAATAGGATTTCAATGACCTGGAATTTAACTAATAAAACTTAATAGTATCCAGAATTTTCCTATGTTTGCATTCATCAGAAGAGTAGACATAGGAACCAAGCTGCTTTTATTTTTTAAAATGTTTTGGCTGTGCCACATGGCTTGTGGGATATTCGTTCCCCCACCAAGGATTGAACCCAGGCCACGGCAGTGAAAGTACCGCACCGAGTCCTAACCACTGAACCACCAGGGAATTCCCCAGGTTGCTTTTAGATAGAAACACTATGCCCATTGAATCTGCCTTTTATAGTTTGTCTGCTACTTCTTTGTTTATAGTTCTGAATAACAATTATTTATATTCAGAGTGGTAATTCTGTGTCATCAAGGCAGTATTCTGGATTCAACAGGCATTATCTTTTTAGAAAAAAAAATAACATTAGCGATGTAACGAAAGTTATTTCTAAAGAACCTAAGCAGTCCTATAGTTTTGCTCTCCTCAAGAATATTAAGCATCAGTGTTCTCGTTTTCAATGTGAAGTTTCCTTCTTTGCATTGCCTGACGCCAGTAAACACATGTTTCTCTGTATCATGAGATGGGTTTCAAGGAAAGGAGATGGATCTTAGGCTACCACCTCTCAGCTGTATCAGCATGTTTGGCTATTTCCCTTTCTAACCTTGGGGCTTCTCCACTTTGGAGATTTGAATAGCCCTACATTGGAAGAACATACATTTCAGGGTGGATTAATACCTTTGCCTTCAGAGGCTATGCACTTCATCCCCTTCCAGTGAGAATAAAGTAAATCCAAACTTCAAAATCTTTGGAAGAAGGAAATTGTGTAATTGTACAATTTTTCTCAATAGACTCTTAAGTAATTTATCTTTTGGAAATCTACCCTTTATCTTGTCTACACATCTCCTGCTTTTAAATGCATTTTCTAGGCTTCAGATATCTTGCCAACATTAGTTTATGGTCCACTGTGCATCCAATTGTTATCGACCTCTATTACAAGAGAGAATTAAGCCCTGGTGCCTCAGCATCCTTGTACATAATGAATTAAGTTCTCGTCAATGTCTCTACAATGGTACTAGTTATGTACCTTTCATGGAGGAATTGAGTCACTTAAATTATTTTCTGTATTATGTGGTTTATATGGGAAACACAAGTTGAGAAAGGTTGGAAAAAATGATAAAAATTTCTTAGTCCACTCATTTTCAAAATGAATCATAACAGTTCTTTTAACCTTTTCCTCAACGTTTTCATTTGCAACGATGAAACCACATTTATGCCATTCTTCTTAATCTTCTCCACGTTTGTCACAACTTTATTTAACTGTGGACTCAAGTAGCACAAATTTAAGTCTAGTGATGTTATAACTAGTTCTAGGTATAAGGACATTTAACTTAATATACACCTATTGTGATTGTTATTTTAAAATGTTAGCTATCATGAAGCATTTTCTCTTTATTAGTTTTAATGACCTTCAGGTTTGGGGGGATCTACTTAATATTGACTAGTCTTTATGAGTATCAGTCATTCATTTTTGTTTCCAAGCCCTTCTTTTATGAAAAGGCAGCACTGAAATGGGACCTCATTCTTTAAGGAAAAGCTTTCTCCTCTTCCTTTGCTTTTTGGTCTTACTGCCACTGAAATGCAAGAGCCAGCCCTGTGTTCCATTAGCTAAGTGTTTCCGGAAGAGGCCAGAGGAATCAGTCTTTTTGCAATGCTTCTTGCCACATCAGCAGTGATCTCCGTATTTGGAATGTGGTCCTGTTAGTCAGAATGGCTGTGGGGATAAGGCTGTATTTCCCCAGTTTATATTTGGGCCCATTCCCTCAACACAAAATTGAAAGAACTGAGTTCCTACCCACAGACTGACATCCTAAACATTTGGACTTGGCGTAATGGAAACTGCTCCCAACACCGTGTTCTGTTTAGGTTGATCACTGGTGGTGGGGCTCTCTTCAAGATGTAAAACTTAGGTTTAAAGAATTCTGATTTCCAAAATTAGCTCTTTTCCTTTGAAAAACTAGATACTTAGTTTGTGATTTCATCCTCAGAAGCCACTATACATTCACCTCAAAGAGTAACAAACTAAACAATAAATCTAACTTTAAACAGAGAATGTGTTATTTTAAAAAATATTAGTAATAAAATGTATTTGTTTTTATTTCCACCTGAGAAATGCTGTATCGCATTCTCCAAATTCTAGGAATGGTTTGTTTTCAATACAGGTTATTTATCGTAGAAACCTTTCATCTGCAATTTTTACGGAAAAAGGAAATAATTGCTCAGTATGAAAGTTATGCAGCACAGTAATTTACAGAACAGCAGTAATTTGCTAAATGATTTCCTAATGAAATGAAAACATGACTGTGCCTCCTCAAAAGCTTCCTACTAGGCTTGCAGTAATTTCAGGCAAGTGATCGGCTGGAGCTCCTCAACTGTAACTATAGAAAGAGAAGGCAGGTCAGTAAATTATATTATGGAAATGAAAGCTATCTAGCATTCAGTTTTTGTATTTGGAGGGTCAAGATTTTCCTCTTCTTGTTTTTTTTTTTTTTTCATCTTGATGCTAATGACTTACGGACTGGCACAAACCTAGGTCTTCTGCTATGGGTAGTTTTTCCAGCAGAGGAGATGAATTCACACTAATACCTCCACATGTTCTTTATAAGTCATTTAGTCCCTTCGCGTGGCCATGAAGCCAAGTAAAGCTAACTGACCTACCTAGAAATTGAAACTATAACCTTCATCAATTTTGTCCCATGGTCCAATCATCTGAGCTAACCAGGCAAGTAATACATTGGAATAAGAAACAGTTTGCCTACAAAATTACAGACTTGCTGTAGGGTATATGAGTGCATCTTTTTATACCAAAATATTTCTGATAATACGTTAAGGTAAAAAATCATTATATATAATTTTTCTATTATTATGTAAAAACTTAGAGATATCATACAACTCACAAATGAAAGTGTTAAAATTTTAGATAGAGTTCCTCTATATTTCTGGATCATATACATTTTATATTTTATTTTAATAAAGTACAAAAAAAATAAAATGGTACGTTTTTTTAATAAAGCCCCTGAATGGTTTGCAAATATCCCCAAAGCTGTACATTTAAAAAATCTGGGTATATTGGAGAATTAGTAAATAATTTGAAAAAGGGTATATCTTATTGCTACCAGCTAACAGCAGGCATAATAGGAGTACAGAAAACAGCCCCAAACAATTCTGTACTTTATGTAATAAAAATAAAATAATTATGTTAACAAAAAATTACTTAGGAGATATTTTGTCATAAAGAACTAATTTGAATACTAAAATACTTTATTTCTTACCAAAATTTTTATGGAATTGTATAAAGCCCATGGTTCAACGTAAGATAGTCATCAATGGAGATAAAAAGTGGCATGGTGATTAGAACATAAGAGAGCTAATATAATTATTCATAAAATAAATATCGAGTTGTGACGTTTAATTAATTAAGTATAGGCAATCTCAATTATACTAAACTGAAGAAAGCTTTAAGGAAATCAAACTAGATTCCTATTGCTGGGAAAAAGTTCTCATGCCCTAAGGAGAAAAATTTGTCCTATATTCATGTATTAGAAAGTTAAAGATTTAATAAAAAAATGTAAACTACTAGTTTTTGCTTGACTTTCCCAGTTTTCTTTACCCAAATATTACAGATTTTGACTTTACTATCTTGTTTTCCTTAGGTATGAAGCCTCTGTTCTTTAGGCCAGGTACAATATTATAAAATAATGCAATCCGGAGGGCACTGGAAAATAGGTGGCCAATGAAAGTGCTCCATAAAAAATGTGTTTAATAAAAAGAATGTAATGTTTAGATTAATTAAAGGAAATATGAACTAAAGAAGATCAAGTAAGAAATTTGTTGAAATTCAAATGAAGATACCTCTTGGGTCTTTGTATTATCCTCCTCTTGTTCTCTAGCCTGGTACCATCTCCAAAGAGGAAAATCCAGGCTTAAAGCACACCTTAGGATGGCTCAAAATCTTATCCTCATTGGTAGCTCCCCGTGAGTCACTCAAACCAAAACTCAAGCACTCTCCAGATAACTATGGTTATATTTATTTGTCCAGAGGTAGCATTGTCCATGGAGGAACATTCAGTAGGCAACATGGTGTAACTCTTAATTATTTCTTATTCTATCTGTCCTTAAATTACCTGAATATTTTAATTTTCTATTTAGTGACGATTTGGTATTTATTTCATTTGAATACCTACCCACCTTTTGGAAAAACAACAAGAACAAACTGAAAACAGGAATGTCTTCACGGGAAACCAACCAGTTGCTGTTTTCCCGAGGCCATGAGAGAATATGGAGTTGAAATGACTCTCCCTGTTTGCAGACCTCTCTTTGCATCCTAGCATCATAGTCTCCTCTCTAATGAGATGTACATCTTTTCACTTACACTCACGACAACTTCCACTCCACTCTGCTGGCTCCTTCAGTAGGGTAGAGGCACACTCACTCAAGATCCAATCACTCAGCACCGACAGGGACAGCA